TATTATGGGGGTACAAATGTTAAGGTTACATATATTGTCCATGTCCCCCCTCTTCCCTCGAGTCAGAGCTTCAAGTGTGACCATCCCCCAAACATGGCACATCTCACTCATTATGTTTGTATATACCCATCCCCTCCTCCCCCCTCCCACCTGCCTGACACCCGATAAACGTTATTCCTATACGTCCACTTAGGAGTTGATCTGTTAATACCAATTTGCTGGTGAGTACATGTGGTGCTTGTTTTCCATTCTTGAGATACTTCACTTAGTAGAATGGGTTCCAGCTCTATCCAGGAAAATACAAGAGGTGCTATATCACCATTGTTTCTTATAGCTGAATAGTACTCTGTGATCTACATATACATTTTATTAATCCACTCATGTATTGATGGGCACTTGGGTTGTTTTCCATAGCTTTGCAATTGTGAATTGTGCTGCTATAAACATTTGAGTGCAGGTGTCTTTTTCATAAAGTGACTTTTGGTCTTTTGGGTAGATACCCAGTAGTGGAATTGCTGGTAGATCAAATGGTAGATCTACTTATATCACTTGAAGATATCTCCACGTTGCTTTCCACAGAGGTTGAACTAGTTTGCAGTCCCACCAGCAGTGTAGGAGTGTTCCTATCTCTTTGCATCTTTAGAATTGTTATGTGTTCTTGTTGAACTGTACTGTTCACCAGTATATAGTGACCTTCTTTGTCTTTTATTACCTTTTTTGATTTAAAACCTAAGTTATCTGTAATCAGCACCACCATGCCAGCTTTCTTTTGGCTTCTGTTTGCTTGAAATATTGTTCCCTACCCCTTTACCTTTAGTCTAACTGCATCCTTGCAGGTTAGATGTGTTTCCTGAAGGCAGTAGATATTTGGCTTGTATTTTTTTTATCCATTCAGCCAGCCTATGTCTCTTGAGTCAGGAGTTCAAGCCATTCATATTTATTGAGATAACTGATGGGTGGGGCAGATTTCTGTTCATTTTGTTGGGTTGAACTTTGTTGCTTTGTTTTCTCTCTTGAGCCATTGTGGTATCTGGGCTTTGATCTTTAGCTTTTGAGTAGATTTACATTTGTGAGTGTTTATTGTGCTGATCCATGGGTAACACTGTTTTGAGTACTTCTTGAAGGGCTGGTCTTGTCTTGGTGAATTCCCTAAGTCTTTGCTTATCTAGAATGTCTTGATTTCTCCTTCATATACAAAACTTAGTTTTTCAGGGAATAAGATTCTAGGCTGGGCATTGTTCTGTTTCAGAAGAGTCAGAATGGGGCCCCAGTCTCTCCTTGCTTGTAAAGTTTTAGTTGAGTAGTCTGACGTTATTCAGATTGGCTTTCCTTTGTATGTTACTTGCTTCTTTTGTCTTACAGCTCATAGAAAGCCTCATTAGTTGATATTTTGGTCAGTCTGATTACTGCATGTCGTGACGTGTTTCTGTTTGCCTTGAATCTCCCAGGGGTCCTCTGAGCTTCTTGAACTTGTATATCTAGATTTTTAGCAAGGTCTGGGAAATTTTCCTCTATTATATCTTCAAATAGCTTTTCCAACCCTTGAGTGTTTTCTTCTTCCCCTTCTGGTAACCGTATGACCCTCACATTAGGTTTCTGCACATAATCCCACATCTCTTGTAGGCTTTGCTTTTTTCTCTTGCTTCTCTGCTCTATCTCTGTGACTGATTTATTTAATTGGAAAGTGTTATCTTCAATCTCCAGGATTGAAGATACCCTGTTCTTGAGGATTTCCACTATGTTTTGTAATTCCCTGAATGGAGTCTTCATTTCCAGGAGTTTGGCTTGATTTTTCTTTATTATTTCAATTTCTTCAGTGAATTTTTGTTCCAGGTCCTAGAATCTTTTTGTGTTTTCTTTGTGTTGGTTATCCAGTTTTTCTTGCAAGTCATTGAATTTTCTTATGATCCATGTTCAAAATTCTTCTTCTGTCATTTTAGTGGTCTGATTTTGGTTGATGTCCATTTCTAAGGGGCTGGTGTTCCTCTTTGGGGGTGTGATTTCCGTTTGAGTCTTCATATTTCCAGAGTTCCTTCACTGATTTCTTCCCATCTGTATCAGTTGTTGCTTCTTACCTTTAGGTTTTCCTTTGGATAATGACATGCCCTGTTTAGTCTCTGAGCCAGTAGGTGGCATTTGTGGGTGCAATTCAACCACACCCTGTATGATGAGTCAGTAGATGCCATAATAGGGTGTGCAGAATGTCCTGTCAGTAGGTGGCACTTGCTGGGAGGAGCAGGCTACACTCGTGTAACCAGCTCTTGTTCCTATAGAGAGGCACTCTAATGCCTCAGGTGTTGGGTAGGGCCCTGGGACTTCCAGGTGTGTCCTTATTCTCCACCTCAGTGAGGGCTGGTCTGGGAGTGAGTCTGGGCGGAGCTGGGTTGGGTAAGCCTGCCCTCAGGCACCACCAATTAGCAGGGGTCAAAGTTCTGTTCTCTGCTTCTGGGAAAAGCTGTCAGGGAGGGGCTGGAATGGCCCCACTCAATCAGAAAGTCTGCGTGTGACAGTGGGACTGTCTGAGACCTGCAGTCTGGAGCAGGCCTTGCTCCTTTCCACCCTCCCCAACTCTGCGGCTTCTCCTGGCCTCTGCCAGCAGGCCAGACCTCATGCCACCGGGTCTCCCCTGGCTGTGATGTGGTCTGGGAGGTTCCCTGAGCAGGGTTGCCACCTGGGCTGGGCTCATGGCCCTGCCTTGGGAGGAGGTTTGCCCTCAAGCATGCTGATCTGCCCTTTAAGGCACACACACCTTAGTAGGCTTGTTCACGAACATCCCTTCTGTGCCCTGGGCAATGCGAGACCTGGGTGCATGGGATCTGGTCAGCAGGTCTAACCTCTGGGCCCCAGAATTCAATCCTTGACTCCACCAGGGAGAGGAGTCCAGTCCTAATTCATCCACGGGGAGCCCAAGCTGGGTCAATGTCTCTCAGCCTTAGGGTCTGCCCCGTTCTCCTGGGATCTCCGGGCCAGCAGCACCTGGGAGGGCTGGCGGGTAGGGAGCTTACCATCTGAGTACCCCTCAGTCAGCTGAAGGGCCCCATAGGGGAAGGTCCCGTTCCCTGGAGGTGCCTCCAGCTGGTGGCTATTTGTCTCTCTGGGCAGCCGCAGACAGGGAAGGGGGAGGAGAGAATGAAGCAGTATGGCACCTGCCAAGCAGCTTGGGTCTGTGCACACGGAGGTGCCCCGAGGGACTTGGGAGCCTGGTGCTGTGTCCACTACAAGCTTACCACTCACTGGTGGTGGCCGTCTCTGGGCTGGTGTCTGCAGGTCTCTCCACCCGCTGGGGAGCCCACCAGCAGTCCGAGATGCAAGGGATGGGAGAGTTAACTGCTCTGCCTACTCTTGCCGCTGGTCTCCAGGCTTCTCAGTAGGTCTCTGCTTCCAGTTCTTCTCTGCAACCTCCTCCCGCGAAGTCTCCCATAGTCTCCGGTACCCCTCCTTCCAACCCTCATCCGATGTGTGCTCTTCTGCTTGCTTCATTCTTCTAATTTCTTCTAGAATCTGTCTTTTTTGCGTAGACACTGGTGGTGTCTCCTCCGCCATCTTGCTCTGCCCCCCCTCCTCCAGTGTTATACACTGCTTGGGGTTACACACAGCCAATCAACTATGAGCATGAGGAATTACCCAATCAGCGGTGGGATTCAAAAAGCGTCCAAGTTGGTCTCCTGCAAGTAAAAAGCAGAACAGAGGTTAGTGGAGGCTGGACGTGGAAGGATGAAGGAGGGGATA